TACCAGCATTAACAGAGAAGTGGCTACGGGCTGCCCCCACAAGCCGGCAGAGAAGGACCCTTCCTGACCGCCCTTAGGACGCCAACACTTTGAAAAGACAGACCAAGTCACACACACAAGAACACGTATTCTAGAAGCATGTCACTGAAAGTACAAATATATGGAAGACAGCGCAGCCCAGTATTTAAGACCCACACTCTGGAGACTGGCCCGTGCAGGTGCAGACGGAGCTCTGCCATGTGTGAGCTGTGTGTCATCAGAGAACTGACCTACACTACCAGCTCCAGCCACTTCACCAATAACACAGGAGAGCAAACAGTACCCAACTCACAGGCTTGCTAAGAAGATTAAGTTGAATAATTAATATAAACATAAAACATTCAGCAAAAACCTATAATGAGCGCCCACAAGTTTTCCCTGTACTATCATCTTCCTCATTAAGGGCACAGCTCAGGTATAAGGAGTGCATACAAAGCTTAATCGAGGTTATGCTGTATTTGTGTAGAACTAGGAAAGGGTGAGTCCTCTCCTCTGAAGTTCTAGGTACTCCCCTAAGACAGATCTGACCTAAGAGACCTAATCCCTGGAGGACACAGCCCAGGCTCCTTAGATCCTGTCAGATAAGAAAGACTGGAAGTGAGAGGGCACTTGAGGATGTCCTCCGAGAGAGAGAACAAATTCTCCGCTAACATGACCCAGAGGGCACATGTGTTTGTACCGAGGATTGACTGCTGCATGTTAGCAGCCCCCTCAAGAGTATATAACAGAAAGAGGAAGGAAATTTTATTCTTTATTTCAAATAACAGAATAAAGTTTAAAGGGTTGAAGTACTAAGAAGAAAGGCAGAATTTTCACACCTTTGTAAAACTGGGAGGGCCGTTCCCAGGGCGGGACCCTGAGCAGAGGCTGCAGAGTACATTCAAGCCCAGGAGGGCTCATTTTCTAGATCACCTTTCAGTTCCTTCCTGATTCAGACACTCCAAGATTCTGGGCATAGCAGGAAGGGCACTGAAGAAAAACAAGAAACCCTGAAAATTAAACAACGCAGCCAACTCAAAAAGCTAGTAAGAGATCAAAATAAACCTAAAGAAAACAGATGACTTTCTAGGAAATCATATAAATACTAAAAACTGATTCAATGAAAAGTAGAAAACCTGCTTATAACCAGATCAGAAACAGATTTTACAAAATGAAATTATAAATAATCTAAGTGTAAATGGAAAAACACTAAATACCAACAGTAACTTAAAAATAAGCATACATATGACATAAGAAGCTTCTATCAGAGGTTCCAAGATGTTTACCATTAGAAGATACATTGAGGAAATTTGTTACGTTAATAGCATAAAGAAGACGGAATCATATGATCATCAATAGTTGCCCTAAGATGTATCTGACAACATTTAACAACCATCTCCAATATTTTTTTAAAAAAAATCCAACTACTTTAGGAATAGGAAATTCCTTAACTAAACTACCTTGTATGAACACATAATACAAACCTAGAACAAACATCCCTAGTAATAAAACATTTTATTAACTTCTTATCCCTATTAAGTTAGGAATCCCCCCCCCATAGAAGGGAATTTGACAGTCTCTTTCAAAATAATACGTGCATTTGCCCTTTGGCCTAGCAATCCTATTCCTAAGAAAGTATTCCAAAGACAAACTGGCAAAATATAAAAGGCCATATATTTACTATACCACTACCTGCAATAGCAAAGACTGGAAACCACAGAAAGAAACCATTAAAAAAACTACCTACCTATAGCTGGTTTAAAAAGAGAGAATGAGAAAAATCTCTATGTCATTCTAAAGAGTAATCTTCAGAATATATTACCAACTGGAAAAAAGCAAGGAACTTTTAAAAAGGAATATAATACGCCTTAATAAACCGGGAGAAATATAAATACACTGACATATAGCATTATATATGCAGAAAGGAGCATTTAAAGAATAAGCCAAAGGCCAATAGACAGGGTCACCTTTGAAAAAAGGGAGAAAGGAGGGATGAAGGACAAGGGTAGAAGCAAACCTCCCTGAACTCCCCTGTTTTATAGTTTCAGCTATAAACCACATAAATGTGGAATGTAAATTTTTTAATGTAAAAATAGAAGGAAAGCAATCCTGAAAAATTAAAAAATCAACTGAAACAAATCACTCTGATTGTATGTCAAAGTGGTAGCATAACCACACGGAGAATTACTTTAGGTGATTTAACTCTCCGGCATGAGGTATCTTAAGCCCATAAAGAGTCGCAGGAAAATCTTAACTAAAAGAACATTATTCAATGGGTTCATTATTAGTAACAATATCAATATTGCTATTTTAAAATTATTATATATTTTGATATTGTTTGGGACAAAGACTTTCAGCATGAAAAAGAGATACCAAGTATATAGTCAAAGAAGTTAATTAAAAACCTTAAAATCTTTCATTTAGATGAATGCATGATTTATTTCTTCCCATTATAAAATTTACAAACTTTCTTAGCACTGCCTACGGGAAATGCTAAAAGGAATGAAAACCAAAGAGCAACATGCATCTCCAGGATCCAGATTATAGTTTCTAAATACCATAGTGTAGTGGAACTAAAAGGAACCAGACCTCCTAGGGAAAAGATAATTCCAGATCTGTGCAAGAAACAGACAAGATGAGCTCGAGGTATCTGGTCGTGTTAGAGTGCAAGCAAGCTACCAAAGATGACTAGAGTCATGTCAAAAGACCCCAGAAGATGACAATTTGAGCATCACAATAACTATAAAAGGAATAATGACTGAAAATAGACTAAAACACATAAACTACATTTTTTTATCTATGAGTTCATAATAATACTTCCCCCCTGCCAAAAAAAACTCTAAGTCATCTTTGAAGATTGTTAGAGCATTAATCACTATTCTGTAAATAAAGAGAAAGATTCAAGCATGTACCCTGCCCTTCCCGTACTAATCATATTTCAGTTAACTAAACAGTTGATGAGAGAAAATTCTTCTTTACAGAAGGATCCTAGATAATGGGCATAGAGGGAATGATTGAACTAGGGAAACATCATTTTTGCAATCTCTAATAAAATAATGGATATAAGTGCCCATCATTTGGTGAACATTCACAGAGAAATTTGTAATAGAAGGAGCAACCCAAAAAACTCCTTAACCAACTGATCAATCTTAACATAATTAATATTTCGACAAATGTCTTAAAAGATACAACATACCAAATCTCACTCAAGAAGAAACAGATAACTTAAGTAGCCCTCTCTCTATAAAAGAAATTGAAGTTAAAAACCTTCCCACAAAGAAAGCTCCAGGCCTTGATGGCTCCCAGGTGAATTCCACCAACCATTTAAGGAGAACTACTACCAATTCCATGTAAAAGCCTCCAAAAAATTCCAGAGGTAGGAAGGAATACATTCCAACTTAATCTATGGCCTGAGACCAAAGCCACATAAAACATTGTAACTGGAAGATACAATAAAAGAGAACTAACAAAGATGAAATACTAAAGATCTTAACAAGAAATGGGCAAAACTAGTATGAAGAAAATTCTGAAACACCCTAAAGGACATGTAAGTATCTTTGAACAAAATGAAAAACCACATTCTTGGGTAGGACAATTCAACAACAAAGACGTCAATTCACCTCAGGTCAATATATTTATTTGACATAATTCTAATAAAAATGCCAACAAGCATAGAAAAACCTAGAAATCCTGAGTCAAAACACAAAGACTCAAAGACTAATGGGGGTGTATCAAAAGGGCACAGAAGCCAGCTTGAAGTAGATCCCAATGATCAAACTAAGGACAATTTTAGCTTCAAAAAGAATAATGTCTGTAATTGTCTATAAATTATTGAATAAATAAAAAACCAAGAGGCCACAATGACACTAAACAACAAAGACAAAAGAGAGAGAGTGCACTCAAAATAATTTCCACCACAGGAGATGATGATAACATCAATTCCTTAATCTGAGCATTGGTGGTCAAAAGAGAAAGGTCATTTACCCTGCCACAACAGGAGTTCACCAGTTGACGTGGGGAATTTCTTTAGAAAATCTCAACTAATAAATGTAGAAATATTAGAAAATCACCAAAAATTAGAAAATTACCATTTTCTAAACGCTAAAAGAAATTGATTCAGGCAAGGATTAGTAATGGATGTCAAATCTATTAAATGAAAGAATTCTGGGGAAGAGGATATTCAAAAATGAAGTATAAAATTTCCCCTATAAAATATTACCAAAAATGTTTAACTTGAGGGGCGCCTGGGCAGCTCAGGCAGTTAAGCATCTGCCTTCAGCACAGGTCATGATCCCAGGGTCTTGGGATCGAGCCCCGCTTTGGGATCCCTGCTCCGCGGGAAGCCTGCTTCTCCCTTTCCCTCTGCCACTCCCCCTGTTGTGCTCTCTCCCTCTCTCTCTCTCTAGTAAAACAAATAAAATCTTTAAGGAAAAAAAAAAAAAAGGAGGAAAAAATGGAGACAAAGCAGAACAGGGGGCATTCTACATTCCTTCTTCCCTTTCACTCAACCGAGGCCTCCTCCCTCTCAGCCTACCCTAGTCTCTGTCTCAGCTTTGGTGAGCGTGATAAACATGGATGCAGTATATACAGAAGGGTGGTTTCTCTTTATTCTTATCCTGGACAGATGCTACACTGGCCCTGTGGGCAAGTTTACTGAATTCCTTTGAGAAAGAAGGGAAGAAGTTTGAGGGGGAGGAGGCACAGCAGGGCAAAACAGTAAGGAGATTATCTGTAGAAAAGATGAGTAGAGAACATTCCAGAAGGTAGAAAGATGGTAATGAAGGAGACGGAGCCCAAGGCTAATGAGACTAGATCCGGCCATGGGATTCCACAAGTCCTAGGATGAGGTATGGTTATGGGAAGACAGACTGCCAACAGATGATCAGTGAAGAGACAATTCTTAACTCAGATGTAAAAATTGGTCCCCCTGTTGTCTCCAACCTTTTAATTTCATACTGAAACAAAAACTCAATTAGTTTCACCTTTCTTGGTAAAGAGACTGCGAAATGTACCACACATGTAGAAAATTCCAGCGCTGTGCATATCAACATGGAGCTGGTAGCCATGCAGTCCGCACTCTGGGTTGTCATCCAAAAGGGGGGTATGAGGAGGTAGCTCGTAGGGGCTAAAAAGCAAAACAAAACATACACACAAGTTTGTCAACACGAGATAAAAATGTTTAAACTGAAAATACTCTTTAAAAAAATTAACATCCATCCAAACACCAGCTCCTATCAGTCCTCTACACAGTTCCCGATAATCTTCCACACCAGGAACTCAAAAGAAACGCTTTGTATTCCTTTCACCAACTTCTATAAAAACAGGCAAAGGAATGAGTTCCCTAAGTAAGGATCCACAAGATGACCACAGATGAATACGTTTCTGGGATCTGCCTGGGACAGTAGCTCTACAGAGACAACTCTGCTCCTCAGAAGTCTCAATAACCAGAGGTTGGAGCTGTGCAGCAGGAAAATGCACCAAACAACAGACCTACAGATCAGGAACCCAGGCAGAAGACCCAAAGCTATGAGGAACCAAGTTTTATTCAGTAAGAAAAACCTTACTTTGTAAGGTAACAAACTCAAAAGCATTCAGGAGCTTTTCAGATAATTGTTAAAAAAATGAGTATTGAGAGCAGTCGTGAAATGAAAAGCATACTCCCCACCTGAAGACCTTCAAATTCATGGAAAGACACACCCTGTGTTAACCAAGCAAAACACATCTGCAGACCCAACTCAGCCATGGGTCTGCGTGCCTTGCAAGATATGAAAACTCACATTAGTGCAGAGAATGGGAAGCATCTTGATGCACTGGCGTCTTGCAGTAATGACACTATCCTGCCCCCATAAATAATATTCTTCTAGGGACATAATCCTTAACCCAGAACAAATAAAGCAAATATGTAATCATGAATAATCCAATTATTTTAGCAACAGCTAAGTAATTATGCCTGTTGGCTTGTGTCTACTGATTAAAAACAGAATATCCTTGTAGCTATTCTCAGGATATTAAGATGGTATCAACTTCTAATCCTTTACATTGACTCTACAAAAATTTAATACACCCACATATAAATACATACACAGTGGCTGAGCCTAACGTGCTCTTCTCCACAAGGTGATGGAAATGAAGATTTGCCATAACAAAAGCCAGTTCTTCCTCCCTCTGAAAAATTAATTAGAAAGAATACATTTTCAACTGGAATATTTTAATTTTTCACAAGGTCGTTGTGAAGATTGCAGCATATTCATCTTACAAATAAATGCAGTTTCTTACAACTGTAAGATTACCACAGTACGAATGCATTACTACTGCTAATACATTATTACTATCCCATAAGAATTACATGTCATATTGACAGCAGGACCACAATTCACCCAAATATGCAGAGCATGAAGTACCAAAAGGATTAACATCCTAGCACTTGTGAAATATCAAAATACTCTATTATACACAATTCTGAAAATATACATTGTTAGTTCCAGGTTCTTTCAAACTCTTTCCCAAAATAAGGACAACAGTGGTAAGACCTTCACATATACAAGATTAATTCCACAAATACTTAACATTAGTGGCATAGGTTCCTCTTGAGTACCTGCTTGACTTGGCAAAGCCAGTGGGAATGAACAGATTTACCCACCAGGTTGAGTAGTAGCAAATGTGACTGTAGAGGAACAGACATCCATCTCTCCCCAAATTCACAGCTGACACTGACTGGTGGAGGTAATCCAGAATGTTCGATCTGAGGCACCGCTCTCCAGTAGCCAGCCAGAGGACAACTGGACTGGCCAGGGTCCTCATAACTATGTGAGCCAACACCGACTGATGAATCAAGTCAAGGAAATGCCCAGCAAGCCAACTGCTGCCTGGGCCACAAGTCACCCTCACACAGAGAGTGAGGGAGGGATAGAAAAACTGACTGCCTCAGCAGGTTGAGAAAGACAAAGTATGACGAGAGGATGATGCCGTAGATCTTGGTTCTGTCTAGCATCGTTTAGACTTGTGGACTGTTATTCTCAGCATCACATTAGTGAACTGCTATCTTAAAACCACCACAGACCAAGGCCACAGATCTCCACACACGTGTGGTGTACAGAGAAACATCACACTGTTACGCTCTTCACTGAAGTGACTGCCCAGAAAGTAACCCCAGAGGAGGGAGCCAGCCAACAGCCTCACCCCGTGAAAAAAGAAACCTCATCTAGTGGGAAAGGAGAACTCTTTAGACACTGTCCCCTGGAGGGCAGATTACACTCAAGGCCACACGCCCGGGATCAGAAATATGTGTGGAGACTGGGTAAACACACGGTAAGAGACACTCTGGCAGACACGGGCTGTGAGAGGAGGAAGGAGCATGGACTGCTGGGAAGGAGAAAGGGGGAGACTCCCATGACACAGACGGGAGAATGCAAATAAAACCATGCAGGCAAGAACAGGTTGCCTGTCATTTTTGACAGCAGAACAGCCAAGTGGCCTCCACAGAACAGGGGGTCATTTAGCCAGGAAAATGAAGTTGTTAGAACGTAAAACAGAATGTCATTAGTGGAAAGTTGGAGGGACCTCACATTTGGTGTCATGCATCATTGCGAGTCAATGTGGAGCTGGGAGGAAGATGGCACAGAGCAGGCAGGGACTCGAACCTTACCTTCCACAGCCCCACCAGGAGGCCCGGGTGTAGACAGAAGATCCGAATGAGTCTGTCCCAGCCAATCATGGTGGATTCAGTTAAATTACTCAGGTTGTACTTTGCAATTAAAGAATGCCACCGAGGTCTTTGAACATCCATGCCAAAGGAAGGAAAGAGAAATGAGCTTTCATATCTGGAGTGTTATCAATTCTGTCTAGTGTATCTAAAAATACTTTTGAAGAGAATGCTAATAATGTGCACCTTGCTAATAAATGGTGCATGGAGGGTCAGGGGACATAAAAACTCCTATAAATAAAAGGAAAACGGACACACCCAAATTTCTCACCCAACTATGTTTTCCTTCCCTTCCTCCTTGCTCTTACTCTCAACTCAACAGCCCATTCAGAAGTAAGTGGAAGAATCATGAGGGTGAGAAAGAACCATCTTTTCTCCTCTTTCCCTCAGAGCCCAGCACAATGTCACCATCAAAAGTAGATTCTCATATGTATTCCTAATCAAGGGAAATAATGCATAAGCAAAGATGAAATATTTTAAATGACAAAAAAGCAGGTGGTCTCAGTAGGCTGTCTGGAAGCAGATATAGATAGATATATATACCTTTTAAAGTTATTAACAAGGATAACTCAGAGAGAGTGAAAATTTTAATATTAGAAAATGAATTTAAACCCAAATCCTGAGTATTGTCATGAAGGAGATCCACTGTGAACTCTGTATTAGAATTAGTGTCTAAGGGTAACAACTCAGGTGTAAGGAAACTCTGCTATTCATCATAAGAGGTAAAAACAATAGAATGAAACATTCTATAAGCACTATAATGGTAAACATAGATGTCTGTCATTTCCAGGGACATAGAGATAGTTTAGGAAATTATAAGGGAGATGAGATCTCAGTGGTCAATGAACATAGCTCAGCATTAGAGGCAAGTCCCTAAGGAGCTGGGGCCACATGGCATTCAAGCATTCTCCTCCAGCTCCTAAGACACCTGCTGGCAGGAGACAGGTATTCAAACGCTCACTAAGTAAAAGAATCAGAAAACTAAGGAGTTCAGCGGTGGTACTGTTTCCAAGTGGGAGCATGAGAGGGGGAGGCTTTAAGCATCAGAACCAGATCTACAGCTTCCAGACTACCCTGGTCTCTCCCTCAATTTTCAAAGGACTTTTTGTGCTGAAAACCACAGTGGTTAGGGAGAGGTGGTCGGCAAGCATGTGCGTGATGTGTGACCTAAAAATATACCCTGCATAGGTAGACTACACGGGGAGGAAGCCAAACAAAGGGTTAGGAACCTACGTCTGGCATCAAGGAAACCTTAGATCCAAAGCTAAGGTGCTCAGAAATGGTAGTCACTGCCTGTGTAGACAGACGAGGCCAGGTGGGGTGTGAAAAGCCTCCTCTCACACTCTTCAATGGGCCCAAAAGGAGAATACTCATCACCATGGCTCCAGAGCAGTTTAAACAAACCCCACAGAGAACGGGCTAAGTCCTCATGTGCATTGGACTCACAGGCCACAGAGAGAAATGAAGGCTAATGTTTACCCAACATGCTTCCCAAACTTGGAGAAGTATAGCATAAACCACAGAATGGAGAACACTTGCAGAGGAGAAAATTTAATGAGTCTGACTAGAATGGTAAAAATTACAGGAAAAATCAAATTGCAAATTACATAAATAAGGCTTTCGCTGCTCTTGAGAAACCTCTCATGGAGGAAACAAAAATACCCAAATAACAATCACCAAGTTTCTCTTTTGCTGTCACACAAATGCATATGGGGTTTGTACTTCTGCACAATAAAGGCATTTGCTCTCCAACTTGCAATAAAAGAGCCCATCATAACAGATTCCTAAAAAACACTTTTAGTGTCTGTTCTCCACAGCTTATCAAATGCTGGCTGAAGTCTACTTAGTTTTAATGGAAATAAATTACACTAAATTTTCCCAATAAATTCTAGCACTTCTCTCACTGTGCAGTATCTAGTATTCCTGACCTGGATGGCAGTTTTCAGGAGCAAAATATCTTTAACTGAGATTTATAATTCAACACTATCCACTTCGTCTTCCATGACTATCTTAATTGATGTTAATAATGTTGTCCTGATGCCTATAAATAATATTTCATGATATGCCAAGTAACATATTGTTCAGTCAAATTAGTACAGAGATGGTGGACTGATTTTCCAAACATCATTTCAAATACTACATTAGAAAAATCTGGTGTCTATCATGATACCATATGAAATTTCAGGGATTTATCCAAATAAAGTTACCATTTAAAAAAGTAAACATGCTTCTAAAATATCTTCAGTAATATAATCAGGGAAAATTATTCACATGTTATTCTTCATAGCATTAAGGTTATTTTCAGAATATAGTGAGACCTGGCTTTATCATCACTAAGAAGCCCAATGCGCTCACATTCCCAGCACAACAAGTAGAAACCTAATCACTGAAACAATCCTCAAAGAATCAGCCCCAGAGAGGAGAAGCTAAAACAAGGTCCTGGGTTACAGAGTTGCAAAAATGTGTCCGCGTCCAGGGAAGCCATGAAAGAATGCTGTCGCACCATGACAACACCTCCATCCCAAGGTCACATGTGACCTGTGAGAGAAACCAGGGGTGGAACCCCAGCACACAGGCTGGTAGGAACAATGATGTGGTAAATGCCATGGCAACGTCAAAGGATGCTGGGCAGCGAAGGAGGCAGTCGAGGGCAGGCAATCGACCCTGGACAAGGTAGCTGCAACCTCTGTACCTCTACGTCTGCCGTGCCTTTTATGTAGGTGCACTCACTTGCTCAGGAGGTCAGGACGCTACAGCAGGTAGCGAGAAAGTGACTAATGAGCAGAAGAGTGAGCCGGAGAGACTTGCAATGCATATGGACGCAGCACAGAGCTCCTGAGGACAGAGCCCCTAAGTAAGGACTCCATGCACATCAGCAAGGTGACACACATGGATCTGACTGATGCACTTGACAGTGAAACCTTCTGATCTTCTTCACAGCAGCCGTGCATGCTAAATACTCCTTGCCATCATCACCACCCCCCTTCCACACTTGGGAAAGCTGAGGCATAGAGAGACTAAGCTACTTGCACAAGATCACACATCCCCGTCAGTTCAACAGAAAGGAGCATAAACATAAGATTTATTACCTTATGGCCTAATGTTTAAACTATGATTACTGTACCACTTACTAAAGAAGATATAATAGTTGTATAAATCTTTGTGTTAAAATGGTTAAAACTAAAAAGCTCAAAAGGTTAGCCATCAATCACCTAGGAATTTTGTTAATTAGAATACTCTTCTCTGTTATAGACAACCAAGGTATGAGGAACCTAAATTTAGATCTAATCATAAATGTTATAAATCCATTCTTTTTCTATTCTATAGTGATCCAGGATGCAAGAGAAGTCTTTAAGATGCAATCAAATTAAAATACGCTGATGGTATTTTTAAATTACAAGAATAATGGCAACTAGTATTTATACATAAGATGTTCTCACCCAAAGGTTCTGTTGAATTAGTACTTACCCATTTTTGGAGGGGGTTTTAGACCGGTCCATAAAAACTGGCATCACACCACACAAATCTAAGGTTGACAACGTGGCTAACTGTGGCCAATTTTTGCCATACCACATAATCGTCACTGATGAATCATTTATGGAAAGGTCAACGTGCTCCATGATGTACTCTTTTCCATTTTTTTCTTTCAGTATAATTACCCAACCTAAACCAGATATTCTGCAGAAAGAAAAGCTAAAAATGATTGCCTCATTGCAGAAAAAAAAATGCTAAGGTCAATTTTACATATCATCTCTAAAGTACCTAGGTCCTAAAAAGTCAAAGTTGAAGTTCTCAGAAGGTGCCTGACATAAGTTTTTTGTTCATCAATGGTCCTCTCTACAGAGCGTCTCTCTTCACCTCACGAACATTCATTGAACACCTACCATGTTCTCGGAACTAGCAATACACAGACAAGACCAAGTTCTGCCCAGAAGGAAGGATGCTCTGGATGCTATTGCTTTACTACACTAGGTTATTTCTGCTTTTCATAAAAACTTCAGACCATTTATATGGAATAAGGAAATACTATACAGCTAGCAGATGCACAGGAACACACGAATATATCAAGACCGTCCCTCACAGTATAACCTGCACATACATCCTTATACACACAATACCCTGAGCTTACACCATCCTTCTTTTTACAGTGAAGTGCACATAAATGTTAAATGGGGCCCTCAAGTAACCACATGCGCATGGCTCAAGAGGGTGCTGTGTACCTGAGTGCCTCTTTGGTTTTGACTGGAAGGCCTGTGTAAGGGTTGACAGGCTGGAGAACCTGAGCTAGCGCTGCTTTTACAGATGTTCTTTGTTTTGTGATATATTCTTTCTTCCAATATCCAGCTTCTTTATCCTCAACCGACAGTAAGTTCATAGATACAGCAGTCGTCTCTGCTGAGTTAACTTTCCAGTTAGATCTTTTAGGTGAAAATGCAGTTGAATAGATTCTGATCCAAATAAAACTGGGGGAGAAGAGGAACTACGTTAACTAAGACACATTGTCATGCCCCTGCAGTAGCAATATATTACCTTAGAGATGCATGATCTCTTTAAATAGCCCGAGTCCATGAATAAATCAAACTGAATATTTACAGTCGCTCATGTGTTAAAGTGAACTGCAGTTTGAGGTGTTTCAGATTCATCAACCCCAGAAACACGTACTAAAAGGAAAAGCTTGTTTCCCAGGGTCAAGTTAAAATGAGTGATCTCATGGTATGTGGCATCATCCAAACCACTGCCATCCTACAGCAATAATGGAATAACAGATTATAGAAAAATAACAAGAAACATACAAGGTGATTCCTATTGTGTTATTTTAAGTATATACATTTTTAAAGGATTGGAAAGGAACCATATATACAGGCATACACGGAGAAATGTCAGCAGCAATGGAATGGTATATTATTTTTGATTTCTATGTTTTAATTTTTCCACAAGGAACACATTATGCTTGCACAAAGACAAGAAAGTGAAAAAATTCACTGCATAATGAATGAAAAAAATGAAGAAAAAAATAACAGTTAGTATTTTTTGAGCACTGTGTTAAGCATAATTTGAGCCCTTTATAAACGTTAACTACTTTAATCATCAACAAACCCACGAAGTAGCTACTATTATTGTCCCCACAGAACTGAAAATGTAATGAGGCCCCAGTGCAAAGATCTGGCCCAGGCCAGTCTGTGTAAGTCGAGGAAACGGTAGGCCCAGGGTTGCACCCACGCAGCCTCAACCAGAGCCCACCCCCCCACCCCCTGGGCTTCTCAGCCTCTTCAGTAGCACAGAAATCAACTTGAGGAAACCAAGAAATTTAACCAAATGCAGAGAGCCCATCAGCCACCAAGTTGACTCCAAATTCAGCTCTGAGCCACAGCCTGTGTGTCCCTCATGCCCATCACGCCCCGAGGCCCAGGAGAAGTCACAGGAACAGTGGCAATGAGCAGCTGAACGGAGCCCAAGGCACCTCTCTCCCAGCCACTGCTCTCCTTCAGGGGAAGAAAGAAGCTTCTCTTGGGGGAAACTGAGGTGGGGCTAAAATCAATCTCCTACAGTGGAAGGTGAGCTTTACATAAATAAATGTAATGATGTGCTAATTTATGTCTCCACATTTCTGTGTAGTTCAGTGTGGGATGAGCTAGCCAGTGGCCAAGAGGCAGCGGGGAGAAGGCACGCCCCACGCTCCGCAGGTGAGCCCGCGCTCTGTCAGCTGGTCGTCACCCCAGAGCAAGGGGCACCTCGCAGACATTCCACTTGCACATGGGTCTCCCTGATGCAGGCAGTACACGGACTTCCCAACAGACTCACCCACAATCCGACCCCTACCAACACTCTTGCTAGTAAGCACTCTGAAATCATTTCTCACCCCACACAATCCTTTCACACCAAGTTTTCTGCCCTCAGGTATTTATTTTCTCAGTTCAGAAACGTCTGGCCTTTCATACGTGAGCTAAGAGTTGCAAAATGATGATGAGTTGAGTCCATGTAGGTAAATCTGACACTGTTTTGCCAAAATCCCTTGAGTAGGCACTTTTAAAAACTCCCTTTACATAAAAGCTTGTTCGTATTTTCTTCAATTTATTTTACTCATCATTTTACTCCACAGAAGTGTTCCCAAATTTCTCACGGGGCACCACAGAACTGCAGCTGAGTCTATTCCTGCCCATGCACCAGTGCTTCCAAACTACTAGAGCAAACACTGGGGGGAAGGGGAAGCAGAGCATGAACCCCAAACCCCACACACCTTCAGTTAGAACTACACCTAATGTCTGTAGGAAGAACCACTTTCACACACTTCAGCTTACCGTATTTACCACAAGTGAAGCCTAAAAAGAACATTTGATAGAATTAAAATCCTGTGCAGATTGTTCCGCTTGATTATTTATAAAATACAAATGTCAAGTATAAGATGCTTCTAACAAGTACTTAAAACCCAAACACAGTCATTTCTTGATCACCAATCCTGTTAAAAAACTAAGGTGGATTTGAGGACAAGGGCATAGTTAGCTATTCTGACTACCAGTCAGGCACAGACAAACTTCAAACAAGTTGTTGACAAAATGGGGCCAATTTAATGTTCTGATGAATAGTGTTAATATGCCCTTTATGAAATCTAACTATAAAACCAGACAATGACTCTTAAAAATAAAATTCAACATATGCAGGGGTGCCTAGGTGGCTCAGTCGGTTGAGCACATCTTTTTTTTTTAAAGATTTTACTTATTTACTTGACAGAGAGAGAGAGAGAGAGAGAGAGAGCACAAGCAGGAGGAGTGGCAGGAGCACCTGACTCTCCATTTCGGCTCTGGTCATGGTCTTGGGGGCCGTGGAATTGAGCCCCTTGTCAGGCTCCATGTTCAGGGTAGAGTCAGCTTAAGATTCTCTCCTTCTCCCCCACTCACCCGCTCATCCTTGTGCACACATTCACTCTCTCTCTTTAAAATAAATAAAATCTTTAAATAAAAAATAAAATAAAATGCAATGTACGCAATTAAAATATTTCTTATAACAAGAAAACAAACACAAGGGTAATTTAATCAGAAGCTCAGATTTTTAAAGGACAACTCCCAAGAAAGTGGGATGGGCACATAATTAATAATAAAAGTATGCAAGGAACATTACTAGAGGTATGGCCCCAAATCCACTGGAAGGCCCAGTGCCTGCACCATCTGGGCCTGTGAAGGTCAGTGGGGAGAGGTGATATTTAGAGAAACTAAGCAATTTATAATTTGTCAGCTTATTGAGTAATTGGAGCTGTATCCTTAAACAAAGTAAGAACCCTTCAAAGAGCTATAATTTGGATATTTAATTGACGTCTTTCATGAAAAATGCCTCACTGCACTTTGCTTTAGTGAATGTCTTCACCTCTTACTAAGAGTCATTAAGAAAGAGACACAAAAATTGTTCTACATCCATTCTAGTACTGTCAAGAACGTGTGTATTTCCCTTGAACCCACACTGAACCCACTTGTGTGCGTACTGACACAGACAAGAGTTATATTCTTCCATACAGGAGACAACAGTTGCACCAATAGTAAGTTTGATCTTCTTCAGTTCATGCAAAGATATTCCTTTTTTTTTAAACACGTAAATGCAAATCACTGGAAATATCCATTTGACCACTTAAAGCATTAGACATATTACATCTATTCTAAAAACACTTTCAAAAGTAATTCTTTTAAGTTTAAAAAAAAATGGTTAAAACGGTCTCACTAGTTTTCATGACTTCCATCAAAACGCCATCAAGAGACAAGAGAGAGATTTGGTTTTCTCCTTACTTGTCATTGGCCAGATGATAAAAGCGCCTATTCACACATCCAGCACACAGCAGGGTCACAGCATCCAAGTAGGAAAAGATCTTCAGCAAGATTTCTGAAGGCATCCTGTGAGAGGGGAAGAAATCAGAGAAGCGGGCAAGCATTGGAGCTAAAAGTTACCGAGAAAACAACAGGTGTTCACTTCCAAACAGAAGGTGACCAGCACCCCTCCTGTACGAGAGGCAAACTGTACCGTTAACTTCCACTGGTTTCTCAACTGAAATGTCTGTCACAATCCTCATGACCTAAACGAATCCAGAGACCCAAGGTTACGGGAAGCTAACATCCTTGGCATGTTATTCATATTCACACACTGTGAATCCACAGGCAGGATTTCCCTACCTCCCTCATGAAAGTATGCATCATTCTTCAGGGAGATAAAAGGAAGTAAGAGAAAAAGAATGCGTTCTTAGCTATTCATTAAAAAATAACACAGAATCCTCCTCCTCCTCAAAAAAAAAAAAGGAACTGGAATAGGAAATATCCACTTATTTTTCACCTAACCCATACCACTCTCACGCACCCTCTTCCTGCATGTCCTCACACTTGAAACCTTCCTCTGGGGCTTTAAGGAGACACCAAGCCCCATAAGATTTTCTGAACTCTCTTTTCCTTTCTCATTTATGGCCTAAATAAATGACATTGAGCTGGATTCTCAATACCCCATGTATTTCTATGATCTTACACTTTTACAAAACAACTATCAGAATCTGAAAGTGTCCAGAAAGCCTTACCAATGTGAGGAAGTCAGGAATGGGCACGTTTGGGCAGGTTGGGACCTAAGGCTGGAAGAAAGTAAGCCAGAGAAGACGGGGGGGGGGGGGGCCTGGAGATAGAGAACTGAGGCAGTAAAACGCTTTGGCCAATTTAAAATGGCTCACCCCTGCTCTCCACTTGTGCCTTTAACGATTTTAAATTTTAAATTAAAATTAAAAATTAAAAAATCAGGTTATCAAATGTTTCCATAGGGAAATAATCAGTCCCAAGATTCTAATAATACTGAGAAAGAATGAAGTAGATCCTCAGAGAAAAGATGATGAATGCAAGACAGGCCTGATCCGTGTCACTAGTCGAAGCTACCCCTGCTCAGATCCGTCAGAGATATTTAACCAAAGACTCCCTGACTGTTTAAACTAGCGGTTTTGCTCAGGGATTAATTAAATCCCTCCTGCCAAATGAAATTCCTTACGTTCAGAGTCAATAAATTCGATGCTTTTAGTGACAAAAGGTTGCTAATGCAGAGATGGTACAGTTGCAAGAAAGCACATTTTGTGACCGTTTGGGTTACCCATTGCACATAGTTTTCATATTTTGATTCAACTGTTTCACAAAAATTCAGAGTTATTATTTTTTTAAATAATTCAAAAAAATGTAGAGTTGGGCTTAAAGAAAACATTTCAGAAAGGTATCTGGCAAATCTTATCCAGGAAGAATTATTTAATTGGACTAAAATCCTATTCAAAGGCCATTAGAGACGTTCACCCTCCTACCCAGCAGACCAACATAATAAAAAGGGGGGGGCTCTCCCTGTACTTCTCTAGCAAAAGCAGAAAAACCCCACTTTATAGTTAGAACAGTGAAGATCAAAGACATTCCTAATTATCGTTCATGAGGTTTCCTCAAAGCCAGTACTATCACTGTCCACACCCACACTGGATCACTTTGTGTGGGATTCTAATTATTTCAGACTGCAGCGGATGGAAGTGGGGGAGGATGGGGAGGGAGACGGGGCAAGTGAGAGACAGGACCGTCCTGGAAGCTGAAAGGGGCAGGGCACAGTCTCCGGCACAGAGAAGGTCCTCGAGTATTGGATGGAGGGATGAACTGAATCAGTATTCCTTCTACTTCCCGAATCAGATTATTGCATGACAGATCGTGTTCTCAGACTACAGGGTTTAAAACTTAAATTGCTGTCCTTAATTCTTTCTTTTTTAGTTTTCATTTCTTTGTTCAGCACACACTTTTTTCAGTTCTTCTTTCAGTGCACACTGAAAGTATGTACTCTGTTAGTTGAGTTATAGTATCAAAGCCCAAAATTTACAACCAGGTAACTTATGTTTGAATCTGAATTTTGCAATATGCAGACTATGTGAGCCGTCCTTCGCCTGCTGTAAATGTCTGCAGTGATCCCACGCATTCAGGGCGCCACACAATGCTTAGCAGAGAGTTGGTGCCCCAGAAGCATCAGCACAACAAAAATCCACAGGCATCTCAGCATCAATTTCAAATAGTTCAAAAAAAGGATTCTGCAGAACCTTTCCAGAGCAAAATGGGCTCCCAAAGCACTGAAAGCTAAGAGACCCAGAGACCTCTGGAGCTTTTAGAAGAACACACTTTAATCTCCTTTCCACTGTTTCAAGGGTCTTTATCAACAGAATGTGAATAATTTTGAAGAACATTTTTTAAAAAGGAAAATTTACTTGTCACTTTTAGTTCACTTCATAAACCTAGTCTAATAATGACAGTGGTGACAGCCTGATGACTCACAGCAAACTCTCCATGTTGTACTTTCTTCCCACGCAATTCTATTCTCAGCTCAGAACAGCAGCTTGGTATGTACAGCGTTGGAACTTTCTCTAAGAACTCCACCCCAGAGCCCACCAGAAGAGCGCCAATTATTGCGACTCACCTCTCTAGAGACACAGGATGCACAGCGGAGGGCTGCTCACAGCGCCTTCCCCGCCCAGCGCACTGCTTCAGGGTAGTCCTTCCTGCACACCTGGCGCTTGGCCCCTTTCTGAAACTAAGATGGAAAAGTCAAGTTGTAAGAACAGGTGACCTGTCCAGTCCCCTCTACAAAACTGTAAAGGGTTCATAAACTCCAAGAATGACTCATTATAAAATTTCATCTCGGGAAAGGGAAAGGAAAGGAGGAAGGAAGGAGAGAAAGAAAGGAGAAAGAAGGAAGGAAAGTAAGGAGGAAGTGGGGAGTGGGGTGGGACAGCCAAGGCAGGGACTGTGAAACATTCCATGTGTCCTGAGTAAGTAAACCTGAAAACTGGACTTATTCTAATGCGTTTTAAACATAAGATTAATCACTTCTGGCCTTTTGGCTAAGATCAAGTGTAGTAAACAATAAGATTAAATATTTGCTTTTATAGGCTGTCAACATGTCAAAGAGGTGCTATAAAGCTTATTTAGTGGAATAAAAGGAAAAAAATAAAATGTTATCAACTGGCCGGCTTCAACAGTAGCACAAACCTAACAAAAAACTGCATCAATCAAGAGAAACTTTAGATTTGTGAACCAGAACTGCCCACATAATCTACAACTTTGCTAGTCGTTGAGGGATGATAACTGGCTCCAACCCTGGCTGCGGCGATCACAGCCACAGAAACACCAAATACTCATCCTCCAATTTTTTTCACATTTTAAGTATCTCACATTCAATGGAATATATTTAACTGGCCATCTATTTTTTATTTTAGTGGTACAAAAAAATAGTAAATCTTACAATCAAAGGCTTTTAAGATTCAATGAAATGAGGTATCATATTTTATGTAGTTAGTTCTTTTCAGAAGTTCCTAAAATAAATTTTTATTAAAATCAGCCCTCAAAACCAGCACTGCCCCACAGCAGCTTGGTAGGGATCTGAAACCTACCCAGAAACCCAGGAAGGCATGGAGCCCACAGCCTTCAGTTTCTAGGCAGCAGCCCCCAGACAGAGTTACTGGTGGATACGCTAATTCTCTTGGAAAGGTTTGGAAGCTGCTTCTTTACCACACACACAAACACACATACATCAATTACTGACCCGCCTCCCACCCAGCATGTGACTAAAATCTAGAGCATAGGTTCCACACGCCCAGTTCACCAATATGCCATTGCTCTGAGTATGTACTTTGTTCACCAAGAGTTTAGCACCCCCCATTTTTCCTACCAGGCCGATTCCCTGGATATACTTGGACTAACAATCAAAAAGGATATGGGTAACAACTGGGGGCAAAATGAGGGTCACGAGAAGTTGGAAGGAAGGGCAATAATCTCTCTGGAAGTGGAAGAACGAAAGCCCCAGGGATGGATCTGAACAGAGGATGGTCCTAGATCCCAAGCACGGCCCCGCCCATAGGAGGCACAGGGAGCGCATGGCCCATAACCCAGCACAGCCTGAAACCCCCCGTGGAAAAGGGCACGCCACGATGTGCACATCCGCAAACACTCAAATTGCCTGATGATTCCCCATGGGCTTCTGAGCAGCCAGAGAATTAGTTTGTCCTCCCTTTCTAGGTTTTTCTCTTCAGAAACAGCATAATGGCTGGTCATGATAAGCCCTCAATAAACATTAGCTAGCATCTGCATGCTGACACCTCCACCTAGGAGACGAGGGACATAGTAAACCTTTCCAGACCCTGGAGGGTAACAAATTCACCGAGGTAAGACACACTGGCTACCCAGGCCTCTCCATGCCCACTTCAGCAAAAGACGTTCAACGTGCCAGTGAGTTCTTGGGAACGCAGAGAAGTTAGGCAGAACCAGTGGCACCCAGTCTGTGCCCAACAGCATAGGAAGGGGAGGGAGAGCAGGCAGAAGAGACCCTCACTTGGAAAGCTCTACCACGCCCTCCCCCTTTATCCAGAGAACTCCACCTATGCAAAGGATTTTTGTATTTCTGTTGAAAGTATTATTTAAGCAAAGATTTCCACAACAGAAAAGCTTCAACTCCACTGACCTGGCTCTAACACAGTAATGAGAAGTGAAATACAATTTCCTAATTGTGTTAGTGTCCTAGGGCTGCCTTAACAAACTGACTCAAACTAGGTGGCTTAAAACAACAGAAATTTGTTTTCTCAGTCCTAGAGGCCAAAAGTCCAAAGTCAAAGTGTTGGGAGGGCCATGCTCCCTCCACAAAGTCTCTAGAGAAGACTCCTTCCTTGCCCCTTCCAGCTTCTGGTGGTTGCTGACAATCCTTGGTGTTCCTTAGCTTGTGGCAGCTAAGATGACCAACTCTGCCCTCTGCTGCGTCTTACCCAGCCATCTTCCCTGGGTGTCTCTTCTTATAGGGGCGCCAGTCACATTGGGTTTAGGATCCATCCTAACCCAGTGTGACCTCATCTTAACTAATGACATCTGCAAAGACCCCATTTCCAAATAAAATCACATCCTAGGGTTCTGGGTAAACGCCAATTTGGGGAGCACCATTCAACACAATACACAATTTTTAAACATATATTTTTAAATGATTTAAAAGCACTCCTTATTTTAAGTCGTTAACTTCTTGTAAATTCTGTACCAATCTGTATTACATAGTCAAAAATCAAGTATCTTTAGTTGACAGAAGGTTCTAACACATAAGCTTTAAATAAAAGGCATTTCTATTACTCCTCCGTCAAGTAATACTATCTGCCGGGATTTCCCAGCCAGTGACCCTTGGACCCCTGCCAGTATGAATGGTCATCCAAGGAGTCTGGGGGTCTGTATATACACATTGTATGTGAAGACTGAGGAAAGCTTCCTTAACTTAAATGAATCCTGCTGGGGGGCACCTGGGTGGCTCAGTCGGTTAAGTGTCTGCCTTCGACTCAGGTCATGATCCCAGAGTCCTGAGATGGAGTCCCACATTGTGCTCCCTGCTCAGCGGGGAGTCTGCTTCTCCCTCTGCCTGATGCTCCCCCTGCTTGTGCTCTCTCTGTGTCAAATAAATAAATATTTTTTTAAAAAATGAATACTTCTGGGGGGTCCTCAAATATAAATTTGTTTAAAAGCATTAGTAAATTGGGATGTCTGGGCAGCTCAGTTGGTTAAGCGTCTGCCTTCGGCTCAGGTCATGATCTCAGGGTCCTGGGTTGAGCCCCGCATCGGGCTCCCTGCTCAGCGGGGAGCCTGCTTCTCCCTCTACCTGCCGCTCCCCCTGCTTGTGCCCTCTGACAAATAAATAAAATCTTAAAAAAAAAGGCATTAGTAAATTGGTAACAGCTTTTTGCCACACATATCTCTGCAATCAAAAAGTATCAAAAAAATAAAGTCTATTACACCCTAAGTCCTTTCCAAGGGAGTCGAAGAAAAGTAAATTAATATGCTGTATCAATCCGTTTCAATCTAACAAACTGGCAAAGACCAAATAAAGAACATCTCATTCACTGCTGGGAGCATAAATTGGTATAAACAGTATGGAAAACCAAATCTGGTAGTGTTTATCAAGAGCTCAAAAGGCACTTGTATTTTTTTAAGCCAGGAATTTCACTTGTACAAAATATATCCTTAAGCAAGAAAATGAGCCCAAAAATGTGACTCGAGAAAGTCCGTCTCAGAGTTGTCTGCACTGACGAACTTCCAGAGACAGTACAGGGATTGGTTAAACAGCCTGGCTTCATACAGTGAACAAAGTTCAGCCAATTAAAATGGACAGTTTCAACACAGGTGAAAGTGTCTGAGACAGAAACGAGCTCATGATGCCTTCCAGATGTCTGCATGGCTTGGTCCCTCACCTCCTTCAGATATTCATGCAAATGTCACCATCTCACTGACAACTCCTCTCTCTCAAACTCCAACCCATACTACACACACACACACACACACACACACACGCTGCATGTGCACGCACGCACTATAGGCCCCCTCCTTATTTCTTTCCTTAGCACCTATCACCATCCATCACTACACATCTTACTTATCTACTCCGTTCACATCACTGGAATTGTAAGCTCCACATCCGCAGGTCTTTTGCACAAGTTTTGTTCACTCCTGATTCTTCACCCACAACATCCTGGCATACAGAGACAGTCAATAAATACCTGCTACATAAATATCAGTTGAAAAAAGCAGGTTAACTCAGGATACACTACATAATCATATCTTTGATGTTGTCTCTTAAGAGAAAAAGTAAACATGCACAAAGGAAAAAGTTCTGGAAGGAAAGACAAGGTATTAACCAGTAATACGTCTGATTCACAGTATCACAAGGTTACAAGGTTTTTGGGTGGTGGTTGTTTTTAAATGGGGGCTGAGGAATTGAAGGGCCAGAACTCCATGTATTTTCTAGTATTACTTAATATATTGAATATGCAATGAACTGTGGGATTTTTATTGTTTTACTTTCAAAACGAGAATCCCATACACGAGAAGGTTTGGACTCACAGTTTGATAGCATAATCCTTTAGGGCAGGTACAGTGGTTCCAAAGGCATCCACACAGCTGGAGGACCTGCTGCCCTGAAATCTGGGGGCACACCCAAAAGCTCAAAAGTTCTTTGAAGTCTCTTAATTGATCTTAAGAATTAATGCAAATGTTGCATTCTACTGGATAACTTATCTGTGGTTGTCTTATTGTACAAATGTATTATGTTACTTACAAGTTAAATTACTTAACATTTTTCCCAAAGCCACTGCATTAATTTTACACGTCAGGAGGATGCCCCATGCATTCCCACTGGCACCTGTTTGAGAAGTACAGCCTATCTCTTGCTGTTTTACTTATCCAGAATTAAAATAGATCTCATGAATCCCTATTTCACAAATCAGAGAAGACTATAGTTCTAACAAGGCACTTACAGTGACTCATTCAAGGTTCCAACATAGAGGCCAAGAGCCCCAGAGACTTTCATCTTCTGACTGTCCTTCCAGAGCTCTTCTGACTGTATTACATTATATTCTATATCTTATCAGTATGGCTTTTGGTATTATTGAAAGTACATCTCCATTTCTCCATAAAATAAACCAAGTGCACATTTTCAAGGGCCACACAATTAACAAATCAGTAAGTTCCATGCATGTCCTCATGTAGATTTATGTGTCTACAAAATTAAGTGCATACTTAGCTGACATAATTAGTAAGATGACATTTAGTTTAAAAACAGTTTTTAAGTAATAGATTTTGCCTGATAGCTTTGAATAAATTCAATATTTAAAAAATTTACCTTCTTAAAAAAAAGAAAAAATTATCTTCTGTCCCTAATTTTTGATACTTGATAAACCAAAGAAACTAGATCAAGTAGAAGTTAAGCCAACCTGATATCCTTTCTGCTATTTTTCTCACAGTTTATGACATTTACACATGTTCACATTTTTTCATTAAAAAGGGAGCTGATTCCTTATTAAAATCTAATTTTTCTGCAGTGAGACAATAAAAATCACCACCTACTTAGACCATCTGCAATCATTCTTGGCAGCTGATTTTTCTTTCCCATAAAGAATGCAGACCTCACCAAATCACAGGTTGACATGCAGGCTCCCATGCCAGGCACTCTAATTACATCATCACCAAGAAGTTCGCTCAACTTACAAATAGAAGATTCATCACATAAAAATCATTCTGCTCCCCACTGACAGAGCTGTATATATAAAGACTAATTTTAGGAATCGTGGCAAATTGATTTAAAGTTCGAGGCTCCAATTTAAATGCCACTGTTTCTCTCCTACAGAAGTTTTGAAGGCACTGTCACCATTTTAGTTCTCACGAGGCTTGTGGTATGTCTAGCATTGCCGCTATTCTCAAGAACCAACTATTACCATAATACTAAGGTGCAGAGAACCACTTCTGAAACCAGGGTAAGTGGGTAATGGACCCTAGGATGAACATGGGACAACATCCTGGAGATTCGGGAAAACAAAGTAATTTAAGTTATTGAACTGTTAAATAACAGAATCATATTTTATACATAAACATAGACATTTGGTTTGTTAGAAGGCATAATACACATAAGTTTTCCTATCTTACAAATCATGAGGACTTGCAAGCAAAAAGACTCCTCATGAATGCAAATTGTTCTTTGTATTGTCCCTCCACCTGGCGAACCAATTAGGATGATGGGTATAAAGCGAGGAACCACTCACCGTAAAACGAGAAGAATCTAATAAGGTACCATGATAGCACACTGACACCTCTAACAGACTGGATCATTTACTGTGAAACGAACCTGAATCATTACCCTTGGAGTTAAGCTAAAGATCCTTTTGGAATGTACCTGCAGCCTCCTGCTTCCTGCCCCTTCCCCGTCTCCTCAAAATTGCCTTCTCCCACTGTAGAAGAGGGCCACCCTTCAGAACCAGGGTGCCCAAGAGAAATGTAGGAGATGGGTCTCTAGACACCAGGCCAAGAACACAAGCCCAGCACTTCGTCAGGAAGACAGGCAGAAGGGGATTAGGGATGAACACGAACGGGTGGCTAGCAATAGGCATCCCTTCAGCGTTTGCTCAGAAACCGGCCGCCTGGGTGGCTCAGTTGCTAAGCAGCCAACTCTTGGTTTCAGCTTGAGCCATGATCTCAGGGTTGAGAGCTTGAGCTCCACGGTGGGACTCTGCCCTGGGCGACTAGCCTGCTTAAGATTCTCTCTCTCCCTCTCCCTCTGCCTTCCCCACCTCTCTCTCTCTCTCTCTCTCCAAAGGAAAAGAAAAGAAAATGCAGAGGAGCCCTCCAAGTTGGAAGTGCAGAAACTCTGCCCCGGGAAAACACGCTCCCAGACCAACCCACCCACCAGAATTATCTGCTTAGGGGTTGTGTCCTCCATTCACCAACCATGGGCGGGAAAAGAAAAATTGGTAACCTTCTCAAAAGAAGATTCCACTTTCCTAACTTACAAACTCATAAAGAGTACGAAAGGTGATTTCCCGCCCCAGAAAAAGCAAGGAGCTTGGGGGACGCGTTCTGAACGGATGCCCTCTCCGCGACCTGCAGGTACAGACCTGTGATAGGCACCTGCCCTCACAGGTGGAGCTCATCCGCGCGGCGAAGCGCAGCGAGGCTCTGCTCCAGGGCTCCCAGTTCCCCACAGTGCCTAGAACTGAATGAAGAGAAGGAGGAAGACTGTTCCCCGGGGAAGCTAGTCTACTTGTATCAGGACTGGGGTAACTGCGCGTTTCCAAGTTGAGGAAATTTCCTCCCGCCATTCTTCAGACCTCTCCTGCACTAAGAGCCGCGAGCAACACACCGCGCTGGGCCGAAGAATGAAAACAGAGGGGGAAGGGTGGCGGGGTACTACTGACCCAACCCGCGGCCCCCAGTCACCTGAACTCGGCGGGCCCGGCGGCCTCCCGGTCAGTCCCCGGGGCCGCGCCGGCGCCGCCGGGCGGCAAACGCAGCGCCTGGAGGCCGAACCAAAGCTGCTGCAGGAGCCGGCCGCGTCCCGTCGCCATGGAGACCCGGCGGGAGCGCCCGAGGCGGAGCGGAGGCCCGAGGGAGGAGCGCACCACGCCCACTCGACGCCGACGCCCTCGCCGTCGCCTGTGCGTAAGGGCGGGGCGAAGGGCGACACCGCCTTTCCGCCGGCCTCAGGAGCTGTTCTAGAAACTTCTGGGGCCCTGCTTCTTCCCACGCCCCACGGCCTGAAGCTGAGGACGCCGCGTGGCGAGCGGACCGCTGAATTTCGGCCACTGGCGTTGGGCACTGCGGCGGCCTCGTCCCTACCCCCTGCTGACTCTGGGGAAGTTTGTGCTGCTTCCTGTCCGGTTTTCTTGGGGAGAAACTGAAACTCAAAGGCTACATCATTTGCCCATGAGGAGGGGCAAAGCCACAATCAGACCGAGAATTTCCCAGTTTACAGTCCTCCCAGAGAGTCACAAGAACACCCAGTTTATAATTGCTAATTTGATTTTTGTCGGTTGAGGGATTACTCCGCCCACCCCTGCGGCGCCAAATACGTGCGGCGCAGGCGCAGGGAACTCTCAAAGGTAGCGGAAGGGCCACGCTCTCTGGCCGCCTTGCACTGCGGGAAATGTAGTCCTGGTGCCTTTCCTGCTCTGTGAAGAGTGAGGGCCTCGAACTACTATTCCCAGGACTCCTCGAGGTTTCCCAGGTTACTTTGCAGCGGCATGGCGGGTAGTGTGTGAACGTCGGTACGGAAGGTGATTAAAGCACTTTAATTCGATTAAAAAGAGCATGGAAGGGAAGAGGAAGTGGACGCAGCTTCTTTCGTGAGCTAACGTTTTTGCCGAAAACGCCGTGCAGAATCACCCTTGTGAATGTGTAGCCCTGAGTACACTCCGGCTGCGTGTGTATCGAGTCGTGAAGCTTTGCTCTTCGTAGTTGGCACCTTTCCAAAGCGGAGCAGTTTTCCGTGATCATGAGTTGTACTTTCCTACGAGCTGCACGGTGTGCGGAGAAGCTGCGCAGGTCGTCGGGGAAGCGGTTGTTCCCGCCACACTTAGTGCTTAACAGAGCTTGCCTGAAGACTGCGCCCAGCTTGAGCTGGGGTGTGCAAGAGCGAAAGGAAACGGTGCCACCCAGGTGTATCCTTGGAGTCACCCAGAAAACCATCTGGACGCAGGGGCGGAGCGCGCAGAGGGTAGGGGACGACAGCAGCAAACAAGTGTCTGTGCGCAGCCAGCGACGGGAAACCGGCGTCTCAACGTCACAGAAAGGTAACGGGAGTGCCCAGTCTTTCCAACAAACGTGACGAGAGCTACCAGTGTCCTTTCACACAGGTTCAGTGCTGAAGATAGGAACACAGTTCACACAAATTAGAAGGTAGGACCGTTCAGCACAGTTCAGAATTAGAGAACATAGACCTGCAGTTTTCTTCACAGACTTGAACTCGGATTTCAGAGTTGATTTTTACATAACTTTGTTGAAGTATGTCTAGAAGATTTTTCTCAACTTTATCAGTTTTAGCGTGGAGCTGTATAAAACTTAACCATTGTTTAAAAGTTTATAATAAGCAGATTTCACAGATGTCAGTTATCTCCACTGAGTTTCCTGTTCACTCCCTCAGACATTAAAACTCTATGTATGAGGCACACTTCCCCAATTTCACACAACTGGAAACTAAAACCACATTTTCCCAATCTTAATTTCCTAATAGCCACGTCAGTGTCTTTAAAACAACCATTCACGAGTATTTCTTGATCTTCCATTTTCTCTATGCTTGACACTTGAACAGAGGCTAATGGGTGTGCCAAGGAATTCCTGTACACAGATTAGCACTTAACGAAGAAGAAGGTAGATACAGAGTGTGAAACAGTGAAAACAGTAATCGTGCTACAGAGAGAGTACCGGCGAGCGTAAGATAGATACAGAGTAACTGGGTGTAATAAACAGGTACTGAGGCATAACCCGTATGGATTGGCTCAGGTAGGTCAACTCAGCACTGCTCTTGAACGACTCCCGTGCCCAAATGTTGAGGTAGACGCAATATGGGCAGTAATAGAACATAGATAATGGGAAAGGCAAAAATGTAGCTCTGTCAGGAAAAGTCAGAGTTTTCATAGATGAGCTAATGAATTTAATGTTTATTTATTTCTTCATTTCACAAGTAATCTGTAGAAAAAATAAAACGGAAGCAAACGGTTGAGACAGCCATGATTATACCACGCCTAGATGACCATTGTTAATTTTGCTCTATGTCATTTCAACACATAGAGTGTTTAACAACATTAACAACAAAAAGAAAAAAAACGGTATGCTATCAATTGTTGTGTAATCTGCTGAATACGCAAAACACATAATCATTCATTCATAATAGCCTGAACAGGGTTGGGGGGGATGATTGAAAATCCAGCACAAATGAACAGCCTGTATGCAGAGGGCAAAGGCACAAATGTCAAAGAGCGTCTGTGAGGTCTTCTGGCTCCAGCAGCAGTGCTGCTTACACTGCAGATGGGTCCTACTGCAGAGTCCCGTCCTCATCTGGACCCCATTCAGAGGTGACAGCCTTCCTGGTGACTCAGTGAATGAGTGGGAGCAGTATTCCCAAATGTGGGATATGCTGCCCGCAGAGTACAGAGGGACCTATCACATCGTGGTATGGGATGCAGTAGTTTCTTTTATTTGGGACGGGGTGTCTTAGCATGCCCCATGCAGTGTACCCCTAAGAGTTTTGCATATGTGGTCGGTGAACCCTGGATCTGCTTTCTGGGCTCATTCCCCCCCCACACTTGGAGTACATGTGTTTACCAAGCTTTCCGACACACATGCCCCTTGTTACTTTGGGCTCTAATATGATGGCATAAATAGAATGGACAAATGTGATATTTTGCAGAATGTCCACAACAGTGTTGTCCAAATAAAACTTGACTCAGTGATGGAAATGTTCTATCTGTATGCGGTCTCTGTATGGTAGCCACTAGCCACATGTGGCCATTCAGCACTTGAAGTGTTGCTAGTGTGATTGAGGAACTGAGTGTTTATTTAATTTTAAGTTAACTTAATTGTAAAATTAAACTCAAATAGCCATGTGTGGTGTGTGGTTACTGTACAGGACAGCCAAAATCCAGAAGGTCCAGGTCCCTTAAAACGAGGTGATAAGTGGGAGACCTAACAGATCCTAAGCAAGGCCATACACGTGCACTGTAGTCTGTGTCATGTTCCTACAAAGCCTGCTGCTCCTTCTCAGTAGAGATGCTGGATCTGGACAGGTTCTTCATTTTCTAAGTTTATTTGCTTCACAAATCTGTCTGGCCAAGCAAATTTCTGTTCTAAATTCCATTCTGTTTATACTGTGTGTGCAGCCAGTGGGGGGTGGGGGTGGCAGGGTGGGAAGTGACTGTCAGAGTTGAGGCCTGTTTCGATCCCTTGGACTGCAGCTGACAAAGCAAACACTTGGTCTGTGAGCGGCAGAGTGTGCCCGGCGCTGCCCAGTCTATATCGTGTTTTCACGCCAAGGGCCTGCATCACTTGTTCTAGTGTTTCTTCGTCTGAGAAAGTAAAGAGGTATTAAAACTGTAATACTAAATAAAGTACAGATTCCCTGGCCCAGAACTCTACTGAGGTTCTTTTGAAAACTTTCTTCAGGTGGTTCTGATTCACAGGGAGGCTTGGGAGCAGCCACTCCAGAGCACACACAGACCCCCACATGGGGTCCCGAGTCCACAGGTCCCCCACTAGAAGTGCTGAAGCCGTGAGTGCTCCCGCCTGTCAGGCACACATCTAACTCAGCCGTGCTTTCTCTCTACAGTGAAAGAAGCTGGAAGAGATTTTACCTATTTGATTGTGGTGCTTTTTGGAATCAGCATCACAGGTTGATCACAGCAAGTACAATACCAACCCCTAAAATCTTTTAACTTAACATTTGTCTTGCTCTTGCTTTGCTTGATCTTCTTTTTCTATAATTTGCAGGTGGCTTATTTTACACAGTTTTCAAAGAACTTTTTTCTTCCTCAAGCCCTAATAAGATCTATGGGAAAGCCTTAGAAAAATGCAGATCACACCCTGAGGTTAGTCTTCCAGATGGAATCACACACACTCTGAAGATGGGGAAAAAATGCCCCCGGGGCGGGGGGGGCGGCAGGGAGCCAGAACACACATACTGGTTCTGAGAGTAGTGATGTTTATATGATAATAAAGTCATATGGTTGGATTGTGATTATGTTATTAGCTCTCTGTTCTGTACTTGAAATGCTTTAGGACCCCCTAAAGGTCTGTGTAGCGGTGTTTTCATTCTAATTATACAAGAGAGTCACTTGTTTTCATAGATATTAAATGCTTAGACCTTGCCAGAGTATTAAACTCTTGTGGTAAGTTTCTAGCCCTGTAAAAACCTGATCCATTAGCTCGTGATCATAATAGTAATTATTGACACTCGCTGAAGGCACATTATGCACCAGGCCCTACACTCAGTGCCTCATCGTTCTTGGCTCTCACAGAAACTGTTTGTGTTAAATACTGCGACTGTTTCGCTTGCAGAAGGGGAGACCGACACGTCAGAGATTAGGTATTGCTGAGATTGCTGAGCTGTAAGCGGGACAGCCAGGACCTGAGCCCAAGTTTGTGTGACTCCAAAGCTTGTGTCTTGAGCGCAGCCTGCCCAAAGCATTTCCTGGAAGGAGGCTGACGTATGGAAAAGTTGCCCACGTTCTGTTAGGGGTCCTGCCAGAAGGAAGGCTTTCCGCGATGCCTTCCGGTCACAAATAGCGCAGCCATTGTAGCGCCAAGAGTTCGTACTCCCTGGGTGGAAGGCTTCAGCGTGGAAAAATATTACCCATTGAAATCTTAATCTTTATACCTCGAAGGAAAACAGCAGATAGCACCAAAAACTATCAGGGCAGCTTCTCCCACATACCCAGGTGTGTGAGAAACAACACGCACCACCCCGTGACGGGCGAGGTACGAAGCTCCCAGTGCCCTGACTGGTTTCCCTGGGGCCTCACCTCCGCTTGCTCCACCTGTTCCTCCAGTCCTGTCAGGGAGGAGACCTCAGGCATCTTGCTCTTTAAATCTGTTGATTTCTTACCAGTGGACTGTGGGCTGTCAGTGAGAACCATGAAGGAGGAGGCAGGGAAACACATCTCTAAATGAGCAGGGAATAAGGAAGGTTCCAGTTACAGTTACTTTTTTTGGAAAGACTCAAAGGATTTGCATTTTAAATTCAAGAGGAGCTACATTTCCATGTCATTATCAGTTTTCCTGTTAGGAATCATGGTTTTATACCTCTCGATCTGAGGTGATTATTGCAGGCTTCCCCCGGTATCTGAAAGTGGCGCGCTCCCATGAAAGCTCTCATTTAAGTCAAGGGCGTGAAGCAAGGGCACAGCCACCATTTCCTGAAAGCAAGAGGCCTTTGGATTTTGTTCAGTTAGCAAACAGGTACTAATGTAGGATCTTCTTTAGAGTGAAGTCGTGAAGCGAACATTTGGATAGCTGGAGAAACCTGTACTCACTATCTTTCACCGTCTTTAGTGACTCAAAAAATTGTCTTGTTCTTGTACCTTTGAGTATTAGACCCCATGGAGATACATTTCACTAAAAACGTTCAAATGTGTGTTCAAACATTTGCCCACCTTGTTGTGCCTGGTTTTTGTGGGAAGTAGGACCACCTGTCGTGAAGCCGTGGGTCACACCACAGGGTCACCGACTAAAGTGCACAAAAGACGTACTTGTGGAAGCAGGTTTTTCATTGTTGGGAGTTGTCATTTTGCAAGGGTCCCAGGCTTAATTTGTTTTCTTAAAAAAATCACTTGATTTGTCAGAAAATATTACCCTGGGAAGCGTGAAAGGCGGAGGCCTTACCGAGTCCCACACTGCATCTGTCCCACAGGTCATCAGTGTGTTCGGCGAGCCTGTGAAGGGCTACGGGGAGGCGACGCGCCGCGGGCGGAGGCAGCACGTCAGGTACCGCGCTTCGCATGCATTCCAAAAGCTCGGGGTCGTTTTTAAGTGACAGGAATTGAGGCTGTGCTCTTTCGTTTTCTTGACAGTTTTATTGAATATGTAAAGGATGGGCTGAAACACATGCGCGTGAAGTTCTACATCCAGGGCTCTGAGCCTGGGAAGCAAGGAACAGTGCATCTTGAAGTGAAGGAGGTGTGGGGACTGGGTGGGGACCGAGGGCTCTGGGGCCTAAGTGGGACGTAAGTCCTGGGGACAAAAGTTACACCTGGAAATATGTTTGTTTTCCAGAACCCAGAAAGTGGCGAGTATGAATTTCGATATATATTTGTTGAACTTGAGCCCTACCCTAGAAGAACTATTGTCATTGAAGATAATCGATCCTGAGGTGATTGCAGGGCCCCAGCAAGCACGGCTTCCAGGCAGATGTGGCATATGGTGTGACCCCCAGCCCTGCTCTTCCCTGCTCCTCCCGAGTCTGTAGAACGAGGCAGGACAGAGTGTGTAGCTCAGAAAAGTGAATGCAAGTGGGTAGTCATTGCATTTAAACACAGGGAACTGGAGGTTCTCTTGTAGAGGGCAAAATCATGAAGTGGAACATAGTTTATGCTAACTCTGAATCGATCATGGACAGTATTTCTGCTCTAGTTAATATCCTCTTTCATGATAAGAAATCTTTGTTAATTAAAAATTTTACACCATGTAAATAAGAGAAAAGAGTTGACTATTTTATGCTTTTATGTTGTATAACTATAAAATCCGTGAAATAAAGTCAAAACTAACAAAAAGATGTCAGAAGCAGCTTGTTTCCATAGACTTCGGAATCTGACTTGAACACGTGAAAACGTTTGAGGACTGTAGGAAGTTCAATGACAAGTGCACATGATAAACATACTCCACGATGCCTGTGGAAAGGCTGTAGTAATGTAGTGTATCTCGTACTTCATCCTCGGTGAGTGGGAACACTGTGTGCAGTGGGAGAAGCCCACACCTGCTGGTCGGGGGGACTGGGCCCTCAGGTGCGCACCAGACCTCGCCATCCTGGCTGGTTAGTACGACAACGAGAGGACAGGTGCAAGCGCCTGACCACAGATGGCATCATGGAGTGTCCCCACGCCCTTGAGAAGGGGCACCCCTCCCAACTGCCAGAGGAGCACGGAGACCAGTGAGCGTGGTGCAAGTATATGTTAGAATGCCTTTCTGGGAGATGACAACTCTGTTTTACCTCAAGCATTGACGGGTGTTCTGGAGAAAAGTGACCTCACAAGAGTGTAGTCGTGACTGTGAAGTGCCCGTGCACTGGGAGAGGTCTAGAAATGTCCTTATCTGTGGGGCACGGGGGTGCGGAGGGCCTGGTACATCATGTGACAACAGCGTTAAGACTTTTCTCCGGTAGCAAGGGAGAGCATCAGAAACGAGCAAGAGTGGAAGCGACTGTGTCTCTAGAAAGGGAACTGGTAGCTGTGTGGAGAATGAGAGCCGGGGAAGAGGCCAGCGTGAATAACAGGCAGTTCGGACGACACGATGAAGCTGGAGAAGGTGCTACCATGGAGACGTTTAGCGGGTAGGAGAACAGGACTCTGCAGCCAAGTGGGCATAGAGGGAGTGGCCCAGAATAGCTCTCAGGTCCCCCCGGAGTGATCACAGTAAGTTCAGGAAGGGAGCGGAGATAGTAAGTTGTGCATCTAGCTTAACAAGCACCTGAGTCAGCCAGGTGGCTGGTCTAGAAGCAACAGGACAGTCGAACCTGGAGCTCCGAATGCTCTCTGGCCTAGAGAAGGAGGTCGGGGAGCCCTGCAGGGAGGAAGCAGCCGAAGCTGACTGGGTGAGTTGTCCGGTGCGGCACGTGGGGGCCGAGTGGGGAGGGCACACCCCCCAGCCCCTATCAGGCTTAACACACACTAAGGATTCATGGGTCTCCGCTTTGAATTTTGAACTTGTTTTGTCTTTTTTCTTGGGTTGTTAAAGATGAAAGAAATTTGGGGACATGCAAAAGAAAAGGAGGCAAGGAGACACTGAAATGCAGGGAAGAAGGGACAACGATAGAGCAAAGTCCCGGGGCCTGGATTCAGCAAACTGGAGGGAGGCGGGCGTCTGTGCCTGCGACGAGTTTGGAGGCATCCCCAGCCTGCCTATGTCACCAGCCAGGAAAATGCTCAGAGTGGGGTTGGGACTTGGAGAGGGGCATGAGGTTCGGAATAGCCTCCGAAGGAAAGAGGAGACGGACCAGGGAGTCGGGGCCAGGGTGAGATCAGCCCCAGAATGTGTGTGGGACGGCAGCCGGCACAGACGGGGGCCCGCGGTCACAGGGGCAGAATGGAGGAGGCAGCTGCTTGGGTCCTAGGTGTGAGGCCATGGCGCTGCGGGAGAGCGGGCTTGTCTCCGGCAGATTGTGAGCTGCTTAGAGAAGATCCAGAGGGCCTCGCCCGCCCAGGGGGCAGCGCTCACAGGAAAGGGGCAGGGAGCCGCGCAGCGAGGCTCCCTTGCAGCCACGGGCCCCGACACAGCACACACAAGCCCACGCCACGCCAGAAAGGATGCGCTTCTGCTGCGGCATCCGGTACCCGGGTGCGAAGCAAGGGAGTGGGACCCTGCCCCACACCACACAAGCCTCCGTTCCACGTAGATCAACACTCTACGACATACGTTATCTGTGACATTTGTGGGAAGGACTTCATAAGACAAAATTAGAAACCATGAAGAAAAAGATTGATCTTAAGATTCAGAACCTAATCAGAGGGGCACCTGGGTGGCTCAGCCGGTTGAGCGTCCAACTCTTGATTTTGGCTCAGGTCATGACCTCAGGGTCCTGGGATCAAGCCCCACGTCAGGTTCTGCGCTTAGCGTGGAGTCTGCTTGTCCCGCTCCCTCTGTTCCTCCCCCAACTTGCACTCTGTCTTTAAATAGATAAAATCTTAAAAAAAAAAAAAAAAAGAACCTGATCAGGAAAAAAAAGTAAGCCACTAATGAGAACACTTTACAGCCCCTATAGCAAAGAAAGGATTACTTAACAACGAACTCCAAAACAACCAGTGAGCAAGAAGCAGCCACCTAGTGCGAAAGTAGGCGCCATCCCAGAACAGGGACCAGTGAAGAGGAGACATGTGGAGCTGATGAGCTTCGGAGAATACCTTCAGCCTCTCTCAAGAACGTGCCGCATGGGTCACTGGTTTTCATCTGCCAGATCGGTAAACACTTTGTGGCACCTGCTGGGGAGCTCGCTCTGTACTGTTCAGAAAAGTGGGAGACGCAGAACGTCCCCTACTCAGGCCTTCCTCCCGCTAGGCGTCTAGAACACCTCAGGCGCACACACCAGTAACAGAGCAAGAGCAAAGGCCTGGCAAGTTTGGACGGAAGCCTGAAGAAAAACACTGCGATACACAACAGTCACCATGTGTTACGGTCTGAATGCTTGTGTGTCCCCCAAATTTCATACGTTGATATCGTAACCCCTGGAGGTGATGGGGTTAGGCCATGGGGCCTTTGGGAGGCAACTAGGCTGTGAGGGCGTGGGTCCCATGAATGGGATTAGTGTTCTTACAAAAGCCCCCAGAGAGCTCCCTGAAGCCTTCGGCTGCGTGAGGACACAGCAAGAAGCCCGCGGCCCAGAAGACAGCCCTCCCTGGGCCCTGTGGCCCCCTGACCTCAGACTCCCAGCCTGCAGAGAGGTGAGCAGTAAACGTCTGGCTGTTTCTAAGCCACCCGGTGTGTGGCATCTTCTGAGAGCAGCCCGGACCGACTAAGACACCCTGGCCCCGGGAGCGGAGGCAGCCATGCCTCGTGGTACAGGTCAGGACGCCAAGCGAGGCGGAGACCCCCCCCCCCCGTATTTAGACAGTGTGAAAGAAAAGGAACGAATGCAGTTACATACATCAGCACACAGGATACTCACAGATATTTTGAGCAAAACCAGGCAAATTGCAAAATACTAACGTGCATGTTGACATTTTTATGAAGTATAGAAACACTCAAAAGTAAATAAACTTACTGCTTGGTGATGCATCCCAATGTGGCAAACCCCATAAAGAGGTGCGAGGGAAGATCAGTCCTCGTCTGGGGGGCGGGAGGGGAGCCTCATGGGGCTGCTCATGGACAGGAGCTCAGGCTGGGCGCTGCGGCCGGGGCTGTTCACGCCGCTGTCTTGCTGTTCACCTGCCGCCACACGCGGGCAAATTCACGCAGATGGCAACGAAGCTTAATTAAGTGCGGGGTCCTTCACTGTCATAGACCCCAAAGCCCAGCCCTGCACTGGGTATTTCCTTTCTTACAGGAGACTCCGAAAACTGCCTAAGACGTGGGGGCCTTGAAGCCCACCCCTGCGTGCAGGTGATTACTTTTATCCGCGCCAGACAAACATTTCAGGATGGAAACTTGAGACCACTTCCCCCACCAGGCTTGTGTTCCAGGCCTGAGTGGGTCCTTCAGCCTAGTCTCAGCCTTCGATTCGACTTACCTGGTTACCCTGAATCCTGGAGTCTCCCCAAGCTCCAGACACTAGCAGATACACGAAACCCCCTTTTCTGTTCTTCCCCACTATATTGCCTTCCACTGTTGTCTTCTCCGTATCCTGAATTGTACCTGATGTTACAGGTTTGGCTACATATCTGTTCTTCCTCCTGAGTTTTTTGTTTTTTAAAGGTTTTTATTTATTTGAGAGAGACAGAGTGTGTGAGCAGCGGGAGGGACAGTGGGAGAGGGGGAGAATCTCAGGCGGACTCCACACTGAGCAGGGAGCACGACACTGGACTCGATCCCAGGACCCAGAGATCACGACCTGAGCCGAAATCAAGGGTCGGCTGCTTAACAGACTGAGCTGCCCAGGCGCCCCTTCCCCCTTAGTTTTGAATCCATTTCCTACCCCCTGCCCCCACGGGCCCCGTGCCGGGGTAGGTATCCCTAGCTGCCATCAGCTGGGAGGTCAGAATCATCTCCTAAACCACCGTCTGTGCCCCGAGTTCCTGCCCTCCCCTAAAATCAGCTCTGCCTGAGTCTCCCCGACTCCCCACATGGCCCCTTCCCCCAGGACCAGCCTCTTGTCTGTTCGAGCCACCCTGTTCCGCCCCCCCCCCCACGGGCTCACTTCTTCACACCCTTACGTTGAAGCCTCACTGACAGGTTGTTTTAAGACCCGTGTGTGTTTTACTAGTAAATATTCTCGGCTACTCAGAATCTTCTTAATGCTTAGCAACTGGCCATGTGCACATTCCTCTCCCACCAAAGCACTCATGGAAGCTATGCTTTTCCTGGGCAACATGTCTCCTTCCCTTGGGGGCATTTTCAAAAGCCATCTACAGAATTCCATACAATTCCACACAAAAATTAGAGCCACAAGGCATATTTTATGGCAATGCCTTTACAGAGCAGAAAAAAGCCAGATCCGCCCCCCACCGCAGG